ATATATAGGCTTTTTCAATTTTTAATCTGGCCGCAGAGGAACACCACTGGGTTGCCTGATATAAAGAGACGTAATCCCCAAAACAGAGCTTTACACTTGCGCAATACGGAAATATCTGCTAAGTGTGCTGCTTATCTTTGTCAGCCTGGCAACCATGTGCACGCGCTCTCTCCACTGTGGATAAAAGCGCTTGCTTTCTGAAAACAGCGGTTAGCTTGCAGTTTAGCGATCTCCACTTCAATATTCTATTCTCAGAAAAGTGTGATTCATCAACTGTTCATTTACGACACACACACACACAGAGAGAGAGAGAGAGAGAGCGGCTGTGTATGTATGAATTACCTCCGTTTTGCCGCGTTTCTCTATTAACAGTGAATCTGTGGCTTTAATTCCTTTACAAAAAAAATGATGCTACCAGCTCCTTTTTGAGAAAGATAATGTAGCTCTTGAGCGATTAAGCTATTTAGTTGATAAAACTGCGGGGCAGCGCTAAAAAGTTTGTTCCTGAATGTCTGAGTGTGGCTGCAGCGGGATCTGTGTGTGTGACTGCACTTAACATCAAACTGCTTCTGTTTCACACAAATGCTGGCACAGACATGCATGTTCGGCTAGAGTCGGAAGCGGAGCTGCGAGGAAAGTTACAAAAAATGTTGTGCATACCGCCACGCAAAACGACGTTGCGCGCACTCAAAGCGAACTTCCGCCAACACCGCCATGATCATATTTGCCGCGTGCACCTAAGTGAACTTGCGGACACGTCGAGTATAAATCAGCCTTCAGCGTGTGTGCGTTAGATACAGTGAAGACAGCGCGTTAGTTTAGAACTCTTCTAATTTTTTTTTTTAAGTGATGTTTTATTAACGCGGGGTTCACAGTGGACATGGAAAGTAGACGTATACGTAAAGCGATTGCAAGAACGGAAAGGAGGACTAAGACTCTCCAACGTCAACTGGCAGTGCTACATTTGCTACAAGTGTCTGCACTTCAGCTTCCTTCTATCTATCACTGTTCTCCATACTTGCGAAATAAGTTGACATGCTTACAGTATGTTTACACGGCGTTTTAAATCATGGCGGGTGAGGGCATTTTCATACGCGTTTGGCCAATCAATGTCTACTCACGATTAGTACCAGTTGTGCTGGTTAGACCCTGCTCTGGAGTAGGAGCTAATTTGATTGTCGAAAAAGGCAGTTCGGTACTAAAATCTCTCCCAGTTCCAGCGGTGCGAACACGCCGAAAAGTGGGTAGTTCCACAATTAGTTCTGGTACTATGAAAAGGTTCCTGCCTTTTAGAAAGGCCCTATTGTAAACATGAAACATATGCCATTACCTATATTGTACTGTGGTACAGTTATGGAGACCCTTCATAATGCAGAGGTCAGCTGCCTGCTCTGCCAATAGTTAGAAATGGCACTATAGTGTTTAATAAACAGCTGTTTTACTAAATTCTGCTGAGGTGAAATTCAGTACAGTCATGTATCGTGATACGTATAGTATCGTGACTTTGCTGGTGATACACAGCCCTACTGCAGGAGATGATATTTAACATTGCTGCCCCTCCAGTCTGAATGCCAAAGTAGCATCACACTGCCAGGAAAACAGGTGTGGTTTGGTTACATGTCCCCAACTTGGGATGTGTGTTGGTATTCCCACCTAGCTGCTT